CAGAGGAACCATCAGACTCAGAGGAACCATCAGACTCTGAGGAACCATCAGACTCTGAGGAACCATCAGACCCAGAGGAACCATCAGACTCAGAGGAACCATCAGACTCTGAGGAACCATCAGACTCTGAGGAACCATCAGACCCAGAGGAACCATCAGACTCAGAGGAACCATCAGACCCAGAGGAACCATCAGACTCTGAGGAACCATCAGACCCAGAGGAACCATCAGACTCAGAGGAACCATCAGACCCAGAGGAACCATCAGACTCAGAGGAACCATCAGACTCAGAGGAACCATCAGACTCAGAGGAACCATCAGACTCAGAGGAACCATCAGACTCAGAGTTTTCTGTATCTGTCTGTTTTAAAACAAACATAAATAAATGCTGAGGTCTAAGACACTTCTTTGTTTATTCACAGGATTTAAAAAAATATTTTCTATGAATGAATGAAATTGCTCAAATTTGGTAAAATGTTTCTTAATGTGAGCACATTCTGACTGCATTATAACAAGATTATATTGCACATGTGGTTCTATATTTTACATGTGGTTCTATATTGCATATGTGGTTCTGTATTGCACATGTGGTTCTGTATTGCACATGTGGTTCTGTATTGCACATGTGGTTCGATATTGCACATGTGGTTCTGTATTGCACATGTGGTTCTGTATTGCACATGTGATTCTGTATTGCACATGTGGTTCTATATTTTACATGTGGTTCTATATTGCATATGTGGTTCTGTATTGCACATGTGGTTCTGTATTGCACATGTGGTTCGATATTGCACATGTGGTTCTGTATTGCACATGTGGTTCTGTATTGCACATGTGATTCTGTATTGCACATGTGGTTCTGTATTGCACATGCGGTTCTGTATTGCACATGTGGTTCTGTATTGCACATGTGGTTCTGTATTGCACATGTGGTTCTGTATTGCACATGTGGTTCTGTATTGTACATGTGGTTCTGTATTGCACATGTGGTTCTGTATTGCACATGTGGTTCTGTATTGCACATGTGGTTCTATATTGCACATGTGGTTCTGTATTGCACATGTGATTTCAGGTCGATAAGGAACTGTTGACAGGAGACGATAAACAAGAAAAGGAGAGATTCATAAATGGTGCAGAATACACACACACACACTCAGACACACACAGACACAGAAACACACACACACACAGACACACACACATAAATGAGATCTGTTCTTTTTACTGAGTGAGTGGTGGGAGGGGCTGCCTCAGGGCTCCTAGGGGCCTCCTCAGGGCTCCTGGGGGCCTCCTGGGGACACGCCGCTGTAATTGCAGTCATTGTGAGGTCACACGGCTGAGCCTAGATCAGATCAGACTCAGAAAGAACCCAAGACTTAAAAACCACAGACACAGAGAAACATCAAAGTCCTTTAGCTACAGCTGCAGATGCTACATTCTTTCTAAAGCTGCCCTCACTCTGTTGGCCCCTGTCAGCCTCTGTCGGCCCCTGTCGGCCTCTGTCGGCCCCTGTCGGCCTCTGTCGGCCCCTGTCGGCCTCTGTCGGCCCCTGTCCGCCTCTGTCGGCCCCTGTCCGCCTCTGTCGGCCCCTGTCCGCCTCTGTCGGCCCCTGTCCGCCTCTGTCGGCCCCTGTCCGCCTCTGTCCCAAAGCCATGTCCCAGAAGCATGTCCTATGAAAGGGCTCCCTCTAGTGGACAGGGGTAAAAGGCCAAGAAGCAGCAGGAGCTTTCTGCTGATGTTCAGTAACCTGGCAAGAGCCAGATTGATGATTGTGTAGAACTCTAATGCGTTCTCCACAATATCAATCTGGGACTTCTGCAGGAGAATCCTTTCGGGGAAAGGAGGGATAAGCAGCAGAATACTTCAAGCTGATTGGGCGAAGTGATGCTGTGTGCCCGCCTACCAAGGTTTGACTTAAAGGAATAGTTCACCGTTTTTACATACTGACATATGTTCTTACCTTACCTTAGACTAGTTAATACGTACCTGTCTGGTCTTAGTCCGTGCGCTCTGTCATGCAAACGGAGCAAAAACGGGAGCACAAACGCAGCCTCCTCTGTATATTGTGTAGGACCCAAAAGGTAGCTCCCGCTAGAAGCTACCAAACTCTTCCAAGTGTTCCCTATTAAATGTATATAGTTACGTGACGTGTTACACTGCAAAGTATAGTAACACAGAAATGTAACTGTCGATTTTCTCAGCGGATAAAACGGGTACTATATTGTGAGGCGTAGTAATCTGAGGTGCGCTACGTCCGCGCACTAACTTCTCTCCGTACTACAAGTCACGCTGCTCTATTGACGGAAGTGAGCGAGAGAGAAGTCTCCGGAGAGAAGTTAGTGCGCGGACGTAGCGCTCCTCAGATTACTACGCCTCACAATATAGTACCCGTTTGCATGACAGAGCGCACGGACTAAGACCAGACAGGTACATATTAACTAGTCTAAGGTAAGGTAAGAACATATGTCAGTATGTAAAAACGGTGAACTATTCCTTTAAACCAATCCCGGTAACATCTTTGCCGTCCAGAAATGCACAAAGCGCCTCTCGCTGTTCATCTTTCAAAAAAGAAATTGGAGATTCTGCTAAAACTGACTTGATAGCCTCAGCTACGCGTCCGCCCTCCTGCGTAGCCATGTTTGTTTTGCTTCGGCCCGGCACTATCCCGCTCTAAACCCCCAGACTGGCGCATGATTGGCTTGAACACCTAGATGTTCTACTCGAAAAGGGTTGGCGGGAGCGGGACAAGATGTATTCTCGAGTGTTTGTGAACTCACAAATACCGCGAGAATTCAGCTTCAGGCAAGGTGAGATGTTCAGTCGAGTGTGTGTAAAATGTGCATCATTTGACCATGTTTTTATTTTTCAGTGTTGTGTTCGTGTTAGCAGATGGCTCTAAGCTCAGAGAGGACCCCACACTGTCTGTTTGTAATCAGAGCATTTCCTGATTCTCTGATCTGTGCTGGAGAATCGACAGCTTTGGAAAGTCCTCAGAGAAAACTTCTGATGTGATTTAGGGCGAGACATAAATACATGGAATAAAACCTACAGAACTGAACTTGGTTCAATAAAATCTTTTATCGATCGTTAAATATGATTCTGTGTTAAACAAACTGAGACTCATTTATGTGAAAACAGTCATCGTCAGGAGCAGACACAGAGACACAGAAACACAGAGTCAGACTCAGTCCTGACTGAGTCTGACTCTGTGTTGATCACATCCTGATCAGTGACGTGTGGTGAGGTTTGTGACTGAGGAGGCTCTGACTTTAAACAGTCAGATTTACATTATTCTAATTAAATAGCATTAAATCATCAATGCAAAAATGGCAGGTGAGGCTCTGACTTCCCTCCCTCCCCAGCCTCCCCCCCCCCCCCCTGCCTCCCCCCTCCCCAGCCTCCCCAGCCTCCCCAGCCTCCCCAGCCTCCCCAGCCTCCCCTGGGACTGGGGAGGCTGGGGAGGGAGGGGGACTCTGAGGAGCACAGGGACTGGCCTCCTGCTGGGACTCTGAGGAGCACAGGGACCGGCCTCCTGCTGGGACTCTGAGGAGCAGAGGGACTGGCCTCCTGCCGGGACTCTGAGGAGCACAGGGATGGACTCCTGCTGGGACTCTGAGGAGCACAGGGACTGGCCTCCTGCTGGGACTCTGAGGAGCAGAGGGACTGGCCTCCTGCCGGGACTCTGAGGAGCACAGGGACTGGCCTCCTGCTGGGACTCTGAGGAGCACAGGGACTGGCCTCCTGCTGGGACTCTGAGGAGCACAGGGACTGGCCTCCTGCTGGGACTCTGAGGAGCACAGGGACTGGACTCCTGCTGGGACTCTGAGGAGCACAGGGACTGGCCTCCTGCTGGGACTCTGAGGAGCAGAGGGACTGGCCTCCTGCCGGGACTCTGAGGAGCACAGGGACTGGCCTCCTGCTGGGACTCTGAGGAGCACAGGGACTGGCCCGTTCAGACCAGGGCCTTTCTGAGTGGAGTTTGCTTGTTCTCTCTGTGTCTGCGTAGGTTTCCTCCGGGTACTCCGGTTTCCCCTACCACTAAAAATATGCACAATAGGTTCTGGCATGTGCCTCCTGTACTGGCCCCTCCCATCTCTGTGTGGAGTGACTCTGGTCTGTGTCAGTGTGCCCCAGGGCAGCTGTGGCTACAGTAGTTTATCACCACCGTGTTTGAGTGAAAGGATAATGATGTGAAGAGACTTTGAGAGTCTGAAAAGAACTGTTTAAACTGATGCATTATTATCATCATTATAATAATAATTATTATTATATTATTATTATTATTATTATTATTATTATTATTAAATTGAAGAAAGCGCCACTTCCTGGGTGTGTGTTGAGGTCGTCAGCAGAAGTGTCGGATTGAAAATCACAGACGAAGCAGTTTCCTTTTTCAGACTCAGTCTCTACAGACACAGAGTCTCTACAGTCACAGAGTCTCTACAGTCACAGAGTCTCTACAGACACAGAGTCTCTACAGTCACAGAGTCTCTACAGACACAGAGTCTCTACAGTCACAGTCTCTACAGTCACAGAGTCTCTACAGTCACAGTCTCTACAGTCACAGAGTCTCTACAGTCACAGAGTCTCTACAGTCACAGAGTCTCTACAGTCTCTACAGTCACAGAGTCTCTACAGTCACAGAGTCTCTACAGTCACAGAGTCTCTACAGTCACAGAGTCTCTACAGTCACAGAGTCTCTACAGTCTCTACAGTCACAGAGTCTCTACAGTCACAGAGTCTCTACAGTCACAGAGTCTCTACAGACACAGAGTCTCTACAGTCACAGAGTCTCTACAGACACAGAGTCTCTACAGTCACAGAGTCTCTACAGACACAGAGTCTCTACAGTCACAGAGTCTCTACAGTCACAGAGTCTCTACAGTCACAGAGTCTCTACAGACACAGAGTCTCTATAGTCACAGAGTCTCTACAGTCTCTACAGACACAGAGTCTCTACAGTCACAGAGTCTCTACAGTCACAGAGTCTCTACAGTCACAGAGTCTCTACAGACACAGAGTCTCTACAGACACAGAGTCTCTACAGTCACAGAGTCTCTATAGTCACAGAGTCTCTACAGTCACAGTCTCTACAGTCACAGAGTCTCTACAGACACAGTCTCTACAGTCACAGAGTCTCTACAGTCACAGAGTCTCTACAGTCACACAGTCTCTACAGTCACAGAGTCTCTACAGACACAGAGTCTCTACAAGTCTCTACAGACACAGAGTCTCTACAAGTCTCTACAGTCACAGAGTCTCTACAGTCACAGAGTCTCTACAGTCACAGTCTCTACAGACACAGAGTCTCTACAGTCACAGAGTCTCTACAGACACAGAGTCTCTACAGTCACAGAGTCTCTACAGTCACAGTCTCTACAGACACAGAGTCTCTACAGTCACAGAGTCTCTACAGTCACAGAGTCTCTACAGACACAGAGTCTCTACAGTCACAGTCTCTACAGTCACAGAGTCTCTACAGACACAGAGTCTCTACAGTCACAGAGTCTCTACAGACACAGAGTCTCTACAGTCACAGAGTCTCTACAGTCACAGTCTCTACAGTCACAGAGTCTCTACAGACACAGAGTCTCTACAGTCACCGAGTCTCTACAGTCACAGAGTCTCTACAGTCACAGTCTCTACAGACACAGAGTCTCTACAGTCACAGAGTCTCTACAGACACAGAGTCTCTACAGTCAGTCTCTACAGTCACAGAGTCTCTACAGACACAGAGTCTCTACAGTCACAGAGTCTCTACAGACACAGAGTCTCTACAGACACAGAGTATCTACAGTCACAGAGTCTCTAAAGACACAGAGTCTCTACAGTCACAGAGTCTCTACAGACACAGAGTCTCTACAGTCACAGTCTCTACAGTCACAGAGTCTCTACAGACACAGAGTCTCTACAGTCACAGAGTATCTACAGTCACAGAGTCTCTAAAGACACAGAGTCTCTACAGTCACAGAGTCTCTACAGACACAGAGTCTCTACAGTCACAGAGTCTCTACAGTCACAGAGTCCCTACAGACACAGAGTCTCTACAGTCACAGAGTCTCTACAGACACAGAGTCTCTACAGTCAGTCTCTACAGTCACAGAGTCTCTACAGTCACAGTCTCTACAGTCACAGAGTCTCTACAGTCACAGAGTCTCTACAGTCACAGAGTCTCTACAGTCACAGTCTCTACAGACACAGAGTCTCTACAGTCACAGAGTCTCTACAGACACAGAGTCTCTACAGTCAGTCTCTACAGTCACAGAGTCTCTACAGACACAGAGTCTCTACAGTCACAGAGTCTCTATAGTCACAGAGTCTCTACAGTCACAGAGTCTCTACAGTCACAGTCTCTACAGTCACAGAGTCTCTACAGTCACAGAGTCTCTACAGTCACAGAGTCTCTACAGTCACAGTCTCTACAGACACAGAGTCTCTACAGTCACAGAGTCTCTACAGACACAGAGTCTCTACAGTCAGTCTCTACAGTCACAGAGTCTCTACAGACACAGAGTCTCTACAGTCACAGAGTCTCTACAGACACAGAGTCTCTACAGACACAGAGTATCTACAGTCACAGTCTCTACAGTCACAGAGTCTCTACAGTCACAGAGTCTCTAAAGACACAGAGTCTCTACAGTCACAGAGTCTCTACAGACACAGAGTCTCTACAGTCACAGTCTCTACAGTCACAGAGTCTCTACAGACACAGAGTCTCTACAGTCACAGAGTCTCTACAGACACAGAGTCTCTACAGTCACAGAGTCTCTACAGACACAAAGTCTCTACAGTCACCGAGTCTCTACAGACACAGAGTCTCTACAGTCACAGAGTCTCTACAGTCACAGAGTCTCTACAGACACAGAGTCTCTACAGTCACAGAGTCTCTACAGACACAGAGTCTCTACAGACACAGAGTCTCTACAGTCACAGAGTCTCTACAGTCATAGAGTCTCTACAGTCACAGAGTCTCTACAGTCACAGACTCTACAGTCACAGAGTCTCTACAGTGACAGAGTCTCTACAGTCAGAGTCTCTACAGTCACAGAGTCTCTACAGACACAGAGTCTCTACAGTCACAGAGTCTCTACAGACACAGAGTCTCTACAGTCACAGAGTCTCTACAGACACAGAGTCTCTACAGACACAGAGTCTCTACAGTCAGAGTCTCTACAGTCACAGAGTCTCTACAGTCACAGAGTCTCTACAGTCACAGAGTCTCTACAGTCACAGTCTCTACAGTCACAGAGTCTCTACAGTCACAGAGTCTCTACAGTCACAGTCTCTACAGTCACAGAGTCTCTACAGTCACAGAGTCTCTACAGTCACAGTCTCTACAGTCACAGAGTCTCTACAGTCACAGAGTCTCTACAGTCACAGTCTCTACAGTCACAGAGTCTCTACAGTCACAGAGTCTCTACAGTCACAGTCTCTACAGTCACAGAGTCTCTACAGTCACAGAGTCTCTACAGACACAGAGTCTCTACAGTCACAGAGTCTCTACAGTCACAGAGTCTCTACAGACACAGAGTCTCTACAGTCACAGTCTCTACAGTCACAGAGTCTCTACAGTCACAGAGTCTCTACAGACACAGAGTCTCTACAGTCACAGAGTCTCTACAGACACAGAGTCTCTACAGTCACAGTCTCTACAGTCACAGAGTCTCTACAGACACAGAGTCTCTACAGTCACAGAGTCTCTACAGACACAGAGTCTCTACAGTCACAGTCTCTACAGTCACAGAGTCTCTACAGTCACAGAGTCTCTACAGTCACAGAGTCTCTACAGACACAGAGTCTCTACAGACACAGAGTCTCTACAGACACAGAGTCTCTACAGTCACAGAGTCTCTACAGACACAGAGTCTCTACAGACAGAGTCTCTACAGTCACAGAGTCTCTACAGTCTCTACAGTCACAGAGTCTCTACAGTCACAGAGTCTCTACAGACACAGAGTCTCTACAGTCACAGTCTCTACAGTCACAGAGTCTCTACAGTCACAGAGTCTCTACAGACACAGAGTCTCTACAGTCACAGAGTCTCTACAGACACAGAGTCTCTACAGTCACAGAGTCTCTACAGACACAGAGTCTCTACAGTCACAGTCTCTACAGTCACAGAGTCTCTACAGACACAGAGTCTCTACAGTCACAGAGTCTCTACAGACACAGAGTCTCTACAGTCACAGTCTCTACAGTCACAGAGTCTCTACAGACACAGAGTCTCTACAGTCACAGAGTCTCTACAGTCACAGAGTCTCTACAGACACAGAGTCTCCACAGACACAGAGTCTCTACAGACACAGAGTCTCTACAGTCAAAGAGTCTCTACAGACACAGAGTCTCTACAGACAGAGTCTCTACAGTCACAGAGTCTCTACAGTCACAGAGTCTCTACAGTCTCTACAGTCACAGAGTCTCTACAGTCACAGAGTCTCTACAGACACAGAGTCTCTACAGTCACAGTCTCTACAGTCACAGAGTCTCTACAGTCACAGAGTCTCTACAGACACAGAGTCTCTACAGTCACAGAGTCTCTACAGACACAGAGTCTCTACAGTCACAGAGTCTCTACAGACACAGAGTCTCTACAGTCACAGTCTCTACAGTCACAGAGTCTCTACAGACACAGAGTCTCTACAGTCACAGAGTCTCTACAGACACAGAGTCTCTACAGTCACAGTCTCTACAGTCACATAGTCTCTACAGACACAGAGTCTCTACAGTCACAGAGTCTCTACAGTCACAGAGTCTCTACAGACACAGAGTCTCTACAGACACAGAGTCTCTACAGACACAGAGTCTCTACAGTCACAGAGTCTCTACAGACACAGAGTCTCTACAGACAGAGTCTCTACAGTCACAGAGTCTCTACAGTCTCTACAGTCACAGAGTCTCTAGAGTCACAGAGTCTCTACAGTCACAGAGTCTCTACGAACACAGAGTCTCTACAGTCACAGAGTCTCTACAGTTACAGTCTCTACAGTCACAGAGTCTCTACAGTCACAGAGTCTCTACAGTCACAGAGTCTCTACAGTCACAGAGTCTCTACAGACACAGAGTCTCTACAGTCACAGAGTCTCTACAGTCACAGAGTCTCTACAGTCACAGTCTCTACAGTCACAGAGTCTCTACAGTCACAGTCTCTACAGTCACAGAGTCTCTACAGTCACAGAGTCTCTACAGACACAGAGTCTCTACAGTCACAGAGTCTCTACAGACACAGAGTCTCTACAGTCACAGAGTCTCTACAGTCACAGAGTCTCTACAGTCACAGAGTCTCTACAGTCACAGAGTCTCTACAGTCACAGAGTCTCTACAGTCTCTACAGTCACAGAGTCTCTAGAGTCACAGAGTCTCTACAGTCACAGAGTCTCTACAGACACAGAGTCTCTACAGTCACAGAGTCTCTACAGTTACAGTCTCTACAGTCACAGAGTCTCTACAGTCACAGAGTCTCTACAGTCACAGAGTCTCTACAGACACAGAGTCTCTACAGTCACAGAGTCTCTACAGTCACAGAGTCTCTACAGTCACAGTCTCTACAGTCACAGAGTCTCTACAGTCACAGTCTCTACAGTCACAGAGTCTCTACAGTCACAGAGTCTCTACAGACACAGATTCTCTACAGTCACAGAGTCTCTACAGACAGAGTCTCTACAGTCACAGAGTCTCTACAGTCACAGAGTCTCTACAGTCACAGAGTCTCTACAGTCACAGAGTCTCTACAGTCACAGAGTCTCTCCGTGCTGCTCTGTGCTGCTCCGTGGACCGTGAACAACGCTGCACGAGGCCTCATCATTTATTCGCAGAGTTGTAGCGTTCTGTAAATGTTTTGATGTCCTCATGAATATTCATCACCATCATGAATATTCAAACATCAGGATATGAATCCATGGAGCTGGCCGGGCTGGATGGACGTGTGTGTGTGTGTGTGTGTGGGTGAGTGTTTGTGTGTGTGTGTACATGTTTGTGTGTGGGTGTGTGTGCGTGTGTACATGTGTGTGAGTATGTGTGGATGAGTGTGTGTGTGTGTGTGTGTGTGTGTACATGTGTGTGTGTGTGTACGTGTGTGTGTGTGTGTACATGTGTGTGTGTCTGTACTGTAGCTGGATGGACGTGTAAACAGCTGCTGCTCATTCAATAATTCCACCAAACTGAAGCTTGATCCTTTTATGGCCTAATTACACTTTCTATAATCTGTTTAGCAGTGTGTGTGTGTGTGTGTGTGTGTGTGTGTACATGTGTATGTGTGTGTGTGTGTACATGTGTATGTACGCGTGTGTGTGCGTGTGTGTGTGTGTACGTGTGTGTGTGTACATGTGAGTGTGTGTCTGTACATGTGTGTGTGTGTACATGTGTATGTGTGTGTGTGTGTGTACATGTGTGTGTACGCGTGTGTGTGTGTGTGTGTACGTGTGTGTGCGTGCGTGTGTGTGTGTACATGTGAGTGTGTGTCTGTACATGTGTGTGTGTGTACATGTGTATGTGTGTGTGTGTACGTGTGTGTGTGTGTACATGTGTGTGGGTGTGTGTGTGTACGTGTGTGTGTCTGTACGTGTGTGTGTGTGTGTGTGTCTGTACGTGTGTGTGTGTGTGTGTGTCTGTACGTGTGTGTGTGTGTCTGTACGTGTGTGTGTGTGTCTGTACGTGTGTGTGTGTGTGTCTCTGGAGTCTGAGGTTAAACAGAGAGAGGCTGAAAAGGCTCTGATTGTGAACAGAAAGAGGAGTGAGACTTCCTGCTTCAGACGAGCTATAAATAGTCTGTGACATCACAGCTCTACGTAAAAAAAGAAAAAAGTCTCCACCTTTTCACAAACGTTTGAGACGAAGCAAAAGAGAAATCCCTGTAAGTCCTTTCTGCTGACGGAGGAATGGAATGTTCCGGAAACTCCATTATTTCAGTTTGTTTGAAAATGTTGAGCAGAGATTTAAATATTCTTTTCTTTCACACTAAAAACCAAACGGTGCAAACATCACAAGGAACAAAACAGAACTCAAATAAACACATGTGTTTTCACGAGTTCGTCTGAAAGATTTACGTCTCAATCCCAGGCCGGACTCAAGGACCGAGAGGGCCCGGGACCGAGAAGGCCCGGGACCGAGAAGGCCCAGGGCCGAGAGGATCCAAGACCGAGAGGACCCGGGACCGAGAGGATCCAAGACCGAGAGGATCCAAGACCGAGAGGACCCGGGACCGAGAGGATCCAAGACCGAGAGGATCCAAGACCGAGAGGACCCGGGACCGAGAGGATCCAAGACCGAGAGGATCCAAGACCGAGAGGACCCAGAGGACCCGGGACCTCCGCAGTCATTTATAGACAGTGGTCTCTGCTCTTCATGGACCATGTGTGTGTATGTGTTTGATTCTCTGATCTGTGTTGGTGAATCGACAGCTCTAACTACAGTGTGATCTAAACTGTTGAGATTTAGGACGATGCCAAATAAATTGAAATTAAAAATGTCCATATTTTTCTCTATCATTATTTGACTGTGATCAGACACAAACCCAACGTGCAGCCTGTGGAAGTTCAGTCTGGTCTCTCTGCTGCAGCACATCCAGGCCGGCCCTTTCCCACTCGGCCAATCACGCAGCACTGCCAACCTGTGCCACCCTATGCCAACCTGTGCCAACCTACGTAACCTATGCCAACTAGTGCCAACCTACGTAACCTATGCCAACCAGTGCCAAGCTGTGCCGTCCTATGCCAACCAATGCCAACCAATGCCAACCTGCGCCAACCTGTGCCACTCTATGCCAACCTGTGCCAATCTGTGCCAACCTACGTAATATATGCCAACCAGTGCCAATCTTCAAAAACCTGTGCCAACCTAAGCCAAGCTGTGCCTTCCTATGCCAACCCATGCCAACCTGCGCCAACCTGTGCCACCCTATGCCAACCTGTACCAACCTATGCCACCCTATGCCGAATAGTTGGACCAGAGTTTATTTGAACTAACAAAGAAAATGGGATTGATCCGAGAACAACATGAACCGAGCTCTAAACTAACTCTGACTTTTGACAGATACAAAACAGTTTCCTCTGCTCCACCACAAGTTTAGACTGTTGTGATGTCACATGAACACAAGCTACATCTGCAGCTTTGATTTATCACCACACTAAAGTAAGAAGCAGAGAATACTCAATAAGAAGCAGACAATACTCAGTAAGAAGCAGACAATACTCAGTAAGAAGCAGAGAATACTCAGTAAGAGGCAGAGAATACTCAGTAAGAAGCAGAGAATACTCAGTAAGAGGCAGAGAATACTCAGTAAGAAGCAGAGAATACTCAGTAAGAAGCAGAGAATACTCAGTAAGAGGCAGAGAATACTCAGTAAGAAGCAGAGAATACTCAGTAAGAGGCAGAGAATACTCAGTAAGAAGCAGAGAATACTCAGTAAGAAGCAGAGAATACACAGTAAGAGGCAGAGAATACTCAGTAAGAAGCAGAGAATACTCAGTAAGAAGCAGAGAATACTCAGTAAGAAGCAGAGAATACTCAGTAAGAGGCAGAGAATACTCAGTAAGAAGCAGAGAATACTCAGTAAGAGGCAGAGAATACTCAGTAAGAAGCAGAGAATACTCAGTAAGAGGCAGAGAATACTCAGTAAGAAGCAGAGAATACTCAGTAAGAAGCAGAGAATACACAGTAAGAGGCAGAGAATACTCAGTAAGAAGCAGAGAATACTCAGTAAGAAGCAGAGAATACTCAGTAAGAAGCAGAGAATACTCAGTAAGAAGCAGAGAATACTCAGTAAGAGGCAGAGAATACTCAGTAAGAAGCAGACAATACTCAGTAAGAAGCAGACAATACTCAGTAAGAAGCAGAGAATACTCAGTAAGAAGCAGAGAATACTCAGTAAGAAGCAGAGAATACTCAGTAAGAAGCAGAGAATACTCAGTAAGAGGCAGAGAATACTCAGTAAGAAGCAGAGAATACTCAGTAAGAGGCAGAGAATACTCAGTAAGAAGCAGAGAATACTCAGTAAGAGGCAGATAATACTCAGTAAGAAGCAGATAATACTCAGTAAGAAGCAGATAATACTCAGTAAGAGGCAGAGAATACTCATTAAGAGGCAGAGAATACTCAGTAAGAAGCAGAGAATACTCAGTAAGAGGCAGAGAATACTCAGTAAGAAGCAGAGAATACTCAGTAAGAGGCAGAGAATACTCAGTAAGAAGCAGAGAATACTCAGTAAGAAGCAGATAATACTCAGTAAGAAGCAGATAATACTCAGTAAGAGGCAGAGAATACTCACTAGTGCATGTGCTGGTGTGTGATCTCTGCCGAGCTCAGGAACTCTGCGTCGGGCCTGAAACCAGAGAAAGACTGTTTAAGAATCTGTTCATGACCTGAGGCTCAGATTTACTTCAGATTAGAATGTTTTTGTTTTGTTCATGTTGATTCTGGGCTTTTAGGAAACATTAAACTGTTCCACTGAAGCTCCTCATGTTCATCTCCTCAGTTCAATCTGAGACTGGAACAGACAAAACTTTATATTAATACAATTGTTTATTGTTGGCAGAAATCTGACATGACCCATGAATCTGAGGACCATGTTTATTGTGCTGAACAGGAACCTGCAGAAGAGGAAAGAGATTAGCCACCAGGGCCTAGACACTGGTGGTGGTCCTCGGTCCTCTGGGGCCTAGACCCTGGCGGTGGTCCTCTGAGGCCTAGACCCTGGTGGTGGTCCTCTGAGGCCTACACCCTGGTGGTGGTCCTTGGTCCTCTGGGGCCTAGACCCTGGTGGTGGTCCTCTGGGGCCTAGACCCTGGCGGTGGTC